AATAAACTAAAGGTAGTTTTATTAAGCAATTCATATTTAAAGCTGCACAATGCTCACAGGTAATTGATAACCAGGTTAAGGATTCCCGCAGTTATCCTCATAAACTGAATTTGCGAGCGCCCAAGTTGATCAGATAAAATGTGTTTACCATTTATTTCATAATATTCATATTATAATTGAAATTTCAAGCCTAAACTAATGAAAACTATTTAAAAGTTATAAAAATTTTTCTAAGCAAACTTTCCCTATAATTTAACTAAAATATGTACAGCAGAAAGTGGGTTCAGAACTAAAATTAATAAATCCCTCTTACAAGTTATTTCTACTCAAAGTTAATCCTTTTGTGTGCAAATATTTGAGGTCAAAAGTTCAATAACGTCTAGCTAATGTTTTCAATTACTTTCCATAAAGACACAAATATGTAAAGTTATGAAGTCAAATTTTCGTAGACGGCTGAGAGGATATATCTGCTTGAGACTCTAAATAATGCCCACTCGCCTACCTTAAGATTATGTCAATTCAATTTCAAGTTTAAGTTAAAGTTGTTCCACCTTTTGTGCAGTAAATTCAATTATTGAAGCGTTGCCTAACCCCCACAAAATTTCGGCTCACAGATATTTTTTAGGCACACCCGAGCGTTTGCCCTCTCAACAGCATTTGTATCGAGTCTCCGCCCTGCCCGCTCGCCAGGGCCAGGCTCTGCAGGCACCGGACTGTCTGACGTGTCCGGCGCTAAAGCACAACAGCGATGGCTATGACGAGGGTCACACCAAATCGCCGCCAAAGCTAGTGACCGCATGGGACGACGACTGGGAGGACTCTGAAGAGGCGGAGTCGCTGCCACCGCCGCCAGCAATGCCCGTGGAGCAACAGCGCCAGTCGCATGCCCATGGCGGAGCCCTGCCCCCACCACCCAGCGATTGTTTGTACCATGAGGCACAATTTCCGCTGGCGCTTCGGGCTCGCTTTGTGCTGTTGGAATGCCTGGGCCCAGTCGTGCCCAGCTCCATAATATATGGCTTGAAACTGGCCGGTGGAGCCAAGGCCAAGAAGCAGGGCGAAAAGCAGCTGCCAACGGATGCTCCTGTCGAGGAAAATATTGAGCCCAAGTTGCAATTTCTCGAGCTGCTTGCCACCGTGCAGAATAACACGAGGCTTAAGGAGAAAATGGCTAAGGTCGCGTTGCCACAGGTGAAAACCTTTCCCGTCATGATCTCTGGGGGCTACCATGCCCAGGTGCGCCTCCACTTGCCGCCCGTGCTGCGCGAGGATGAGATCACACGCTATCCCACCATACTGCACGTTTACTCGGGCCCGGGCACCCAGCTGGTGACCGATCGCTGGCACGTGGACTGGAACACGTATTTGGCGGGCACCAAGGATTACATTGTGATCGAGATCGATGGACGCGGCTCGTCGGGCCAGGGCTATCAGCTGCTCCATGAGGTCTACAAGCGCCTGGGCAGCGTTGAGGTCTCCGATCAGCTGGAAGTCAGCGAATATCTGCGCGACAATCTGCATTTCATCGATGCTCGGCGCATGGGTGTCTGGGGCTGGAGCTACGGCGGTTACACAGCTGCTCTTGCTCTCGCTGGACAACAGTCGATCTTTCAATGCGGCATCAGCGTGTCCCCGGTGACAAATTGGAAGCTATATGGTAAGCCTACACCTTCACATTCTATGGGCATCCATCTGTAATCGCATTGCACTCGCAGATTCCACCTACGCGGAGCGCTATCTCAGCTTTCCCAATGTGACCGACAACTACAAGGGCTACGAGGAGAGCGATCTATCCAAATACGTGGACAATCTGCGCGAGCGACAGTTCCTGCTCGTGCACGGCACGGCGGACGACAATGTCCATGTCCAGCAGTCGATGGTGCTGGCCCGGGCTCTAACCAGCAAAGGGGTGCTCTACAAGCAGCAAATCTACCCGGACGAGGGGCACAGCTTGTCGGGTGTGAAGCGTCATCTGTATCGTTCGATGACCGCCTTCTTTGAGGACTGCTTCAAGAAGCTGGTGAGTCTCCCATTGAGGTCTTGGCAGTCGAACACTTTTGGCTCTGTTTTACCAACCTATATATATACTATACATATATATATTCTACCACTTTCCTACCATAACTCTCTATTTCTCCTGCTCTCCACCACCTCAACCACAATAATTACAAACCACCTTCAAAACTCACCTCATCATTTCATTTCCCATGATCGACTATCATCGATCCATCTCTCTCGCGCGTAGCTCGACCAACAACAGCAAAATCAAACAGACTCCATGGATTTCCTGGACTTTCATAGTTTCTATGGCGGTTAATCAATTAACCCTTTGCCTAGGTACAGTCGCCGTTGTTATCAATCGTCGTCGTTGTTATTTTTGTCGTAGACTTCTCTCTGTTTCAATGTCTCTTGTTGAGCGTTTTACGGGAACTGCCTATAAAATTAAAAAAGAAAAAACATATACTATCCACAAAATTCAACGATCGAAGTTATTATTTGGTTCCATTCAGTTTCTGCTATATTATTATGCTTAAATGGAATTTCTATTATTTGTTTAACTCTTAAATCTATTATCAGCATGATCTATTGTTAGTTTATGCTTTGGAAGCTATCAATGTCAACATACTCTCTTTTTGTTTTATGAATAAAAATATTTTTAAAAATCTAATAACTAAAAAAATTAAATATAAAGCTTAAAGTCTTTCTTAAACAAGGATAAATATAAATTAAAGCATACACTCTAAGAAAAAATTCAATTGTAGCCAAGCAGAATAGTAATACCTATTGAAAATGAGAATATCAATATCATATATCAGTCAGAGCAGCAACACATAATTTTTGGTTTATTTATTTATTAGATATTAGAGTTAATATAAGGTTAAAACAAAATAAAAATTAGGCACTGGCTACTGGGGCCCTTAGCATCTTTGATTTACGTTTGTCTTTCTGTCCGTGAGTTTAAGTCCTTTTATTTCGGAGCCCCTACAAATATGCACTAAACTAAATCGATATTGATTGAAATCGATAACTCACAACTTAGTCATGCTAAGTAAAGACATTAGGATATTTGAGATCGTCTCACACGTCTTCTAGTCGCGTATTTTTTAGTCGGGCACTTTCGACTAATATTTTCATAACTGTTTTTTCTTGAGTGTATGCACATAAGACTTTTGATTTTGAGTGCCGTTATCTTGCCTTTTTTGTCTCACTTTTTCTTTTAGTATTTATTGCCATTTGGTTTATCGTACGCAAGTTTTACCTATTTCCACTTTGGTATTATTTCGACTTGATTTTCGTGCATTTTTGATGCCACAAGCAAATATGCTGGTTATTGTCTATGTGTATGTAAGTGTGAGTGTACGAGGATGTGAGTGTGTATGCGCGTGTGTGTGTATGTTTATGTATGTATGTACGTGAGAATATTTGGGGCTTGTTCTTTATTGGAAGCATTTCAATGTGATTCTTTTACTGTTTATTTTTTTTCCTTGGGTGTACACTCTCACACACAAACTCACAGACAGACAGACACACACTTGCTATTTTACTTGAATGTTGCTTATGCTTTGATTGTGTCTTTAATTTACATAATATCTTTGCCCGTATCAGTTGAACTCAAATTCAATTCGAAACTAACTCGTAAAATTTCATCTTCCATGTAAACGCGCCAACAGGTGCCACCCGAGACGAAGGCAGGACTGGGCGGAGGCGGCACCGAGATGCAACAGCAATAAAAAGCAACAACAACACGAGCGGCAGCAATAAAAATTTTTGATAACAGCAGCGCGAGTCATTAAATGAAAGCGAAACGTGCCAGAAAAACGTTTCCGTAAATTACATAAAACGTAATATAAAATAAAAGAAATCACACCCACAGACACACACAACATGCAGACAAGCACTTTGTTTACAAGTTTATGCGCGAAACTTTGCGCATGTAAGGCCCCTGCGAAGCGTTGCCAGATCTTGGAAATTGGAAATTGGCAACTGCAGATCGTTCGCTACATCAATGCAACTCTGTGTGGACGAACCAAATGGCAACCAATAAGTTTGTTGCGCAAGCACAGCCATCTTCAAGCAGAGCACGTGAATAGGCACTTTATTCAAAGTAATAATCAGCAATAAAAAGTAATATACATAAATACGAAGTGAAAGTGCAATAGAAATAACCGAAAGAAAAAGAAAACAAAATGGTTGTGAAAAGCATACGCACGCACACAGATACACACACGCTACAATAAATGTGTGCAATAAATAACTTACACGCGCAACACTCATAACTGCCGACAGAGAGAACAATGCATGGGTGCCGCATTTTCATTTTCATTTTCATTTTCATTTGTATGATATTTATTGAGTTTTTTATGCAATTGCTGCACAAATTTCCAATGAAACTTCGCCCAAAATGAAATAACAAAACTCATGTATATAAATATATATATACATATTTATATAGTAGTGCAAAGGTCGCCTGCCAGGTGGCCCAACCAAGTGTCAACCGTGGGGCGGGTCACGGGCTGAATGTTGTGTAGGAAATTATGTTCATAAATCAATTTTGTACACATTTGAAAAAGCAATTTAAATGACATTTTCTGATATCGGAGCACACCTAAAATGCTTTTCGAATGATGGCCACATAAATCTCTAATAGAATTCATGGACTGCAAGCCCATTTTGCAGCTATTTACTTGTTCGTTGATTTCAAAAAGAGAAAAAGAAAAACATTTTCGGTTTTCAGTCAGAGTGCAGAGTAATTGAACACACACTACCACTCTACCACCTATTTATAGTCTGATATGATTGCTCATTTTATACAAATGGCCCAGGCTTCAGTTGAAATTGAAAATGAATTAAATGAAATTAAATTGCATAAAAAAAAGAAAGCAATAAATAAGACGTGGAAATGAAATGCGCGATAGTAACAAATGAGTTAAAAATTTAAATGAAATCCCATAAATAAGAACCCAAATATAACAATTTTGTTCGGTGCGTTTCACAAGCGCAGCAAAAAATCAATTTAATTGAATAGTGAATTAATTATGAAATGAAATGGCCAAATTGAATTATAATGTTTATCTAAATAAAGCGAAATTACTGTTTGCATGTAAGTAGCGCAATAATAATATATACACTTAATATTTAATATTTAATACTTAAAATTAATAATTAATATTTAATGGTTATTAATTATTAATTCAGTTCATTGTTGATTGCAACAAACTTCGCACCGAAGGCAAGCATTAAAGTACATTTCTAAATGAGCGTAGTGAATATAGAATTAAATAGAAACTCAATTAACGTAAGTCAAATACCAAATACCAAAGTAAACATATTTAAAAATAAAAAATAAAAAAATTAAACCAAAAACCAAAACGAAGGTCAAAAATAGCTGCGATACACGTAAAAAACAAAATTCGAATGCGACGCGCAGAAAAAGTTGACAAAAAGTAAAAAATTTGCCAACAACTAAATGGCAACGCAACGCAATCCTGCTGCTAGTCCTGCGGACGGACAGCAAGAGATAGACATGTGTGCGAAAGGGATTAATTTAATTAGACTTTTACATATTTTTGATGTTTGTTGCCGTTGTTTGTGCGCCACAGCTCAGCCAGTTAATTAGCAGTTGCACAGTTGCGGCTGCTAATTATGATGGCATAATTATGCTGTTGAACCAGTTGAAGAAAAACATGAAAGAGAGCAACGGCTATTTGCATACCCTTACTGAGGTATTTAGTTTACGTTCTTTAAATGTATCTTTTTATTTAATAATAATTTATGTTTATGCAAGTAGGACTCTAGATATCATTCATAGATGCTATATACATTTCAAATCATCTCTGAATTTTCCCAAAAAAATAATTTTATTGCGATGTTGTTTACAGCTTAAAGTTTATTATAGCATACTATGATTTATGAAAATGTATACAGCTATTTTATTTTAAATTTTTATAAACTATTAATTTTATTAAGAACATTTTTCTTAGTTTCTTTTAATAAAATTTATGTATCCATAAAAAACGTTAAACAGTTATACTGCGGTTAGAAATTTTTATTTGACTCCTATCTCAGCTTTAATCTCAGTGCCTTTTTCCGCAACTAATTTTTCGTCCGCGAAAAAATGCTACAGAAAAAGTCACAGTTGACTGCTTCGCTTGTATGTATTCTGTTCGAGTACGTGTGTGTGTGTGTTAAAGCTCAACAAGGCCAGCATAAATTTATATATGGCTGACACCTAATGTGCGGCTTAGCTGGTTTTTTTAGACTTTACATTTGGCTCAGCTATTGCCAGTTGTGCCAGGCGCAATTAACATGTGCCCCCACACACGCACACACACGTACACACGCACACACGCATACAGGCATACACCTGGACAGTTACGCCCAGAGGCGTGGACGTTTGCATGGGCTTTTGAAAAGGTCGTCACAGCTGTGGGCAGCATAAAAAGGGCAGCTGCCTTTGAAACACGGCTCCGCTCCATGTTTGTTGACACAAAAAGGTGTTTGCTTAAAGTAGATGACAAAAAAAGTGAGCGCAACTGAGGCAAGCACCTGGACAGTTGGGATGCCGAAATATGCACACACAGGTGGTCCGCAAGGCACTGTGGGAAATTCGAGTCCTTTAGGGGGCAAACAAGTAATTATTTGTGGTTATCTTTAGAGCTCGGCGCTTGACAGGCCTCAGTAAAAAGAGCCCAAACACGAATACAGGTGGTTCGCAATGTACTATGGGAATATAAATGTGTATATGTATAATAAAACAAAAACAAAACATGCGTATATATACACATAAAAGGAGATAAATGTCTTCTAAAATGTGTAAATATATTTTATATACATCAAGTCTTAGTCTATTGTTTAAGGCTATATATCTCTTTTTTAGTGTTATACTTTCGTAAGACTGCTTTCTTATGCCAGAAACCAACTTTTGCCAGAAATATATTATTATTTGTCTTATATCTTATATTGTTTTCCCCCTTTTTATTTTAAATTCAAATTACTTTTTGTCAGATAAATTTGATTAATTGCCCACTGTGCTTACAGCTCTTAGCTCTTATGGCTAATCTAGCCGTGGGATATGGCAGAACTGCAATTGCCTCACGTTGTCATTTGGCTGCGCGCTCAAATGTATGCTATAGAAATTTAAATTGCTCTACACTTTTTAAACGCTTTCTATGTAGTGTACTAAGGACCAATTACCGAAAGAATTCTTAAAATACGAGTACTAAATAAATATAGCAAATATATATACAAATTCATAGAGAATTCGTAGTGAACAAATTACAATTTCATAATTTGCAAAATATATATATTGATATACAAATAGATATATATATATTGAATATCGACTCAATAAAAATATAGTAATTATACAACATTTTTATATGCGTAAGCATATTAGATATATACGATTTGTAGTCTAGTTCATTTAGTGGATCAAGCGTTGGCATTATTCAAGTTAAAATACATAGTAAAGATATATTAAAAAGAAAAGCAGAGAATCCCATTTTATAGCTTAAGGAATAATTAATTAGATTGTTAGCTCAATGACATGTAAAATATATAATAACTGTAATATAAATGCGCTCTACATAACTATTAACAGAAAAACAACTATACTTTGATATATGATACATATATATTTTATAAAAAACTTTTACTCTTAAACAATAAAATTTTAATACTCTGTCTTCAGCCTTAAAAATGAAAAGAAAAACCAAAAACAAAAACTGAGAGTTACCTAAAAACATAAAGAAACTCTATCTGTGGAGTTTCAGATCGTTTCAATCTAAGCCTAAGTATAAAAACGAAAAAAGAAAGAAAGAAATAAAAATTATGCACTTGTTCGTTATGTTTATTGTAAATACGCTTTAAAGTGGTTACTTGACTTGAATTTTTTTGTTATTAGAGAATTTAGCTAAAAAACAAAACCTACTTATGTGATCCAACGATTTCTTCTCTTCCATGAAGCTAAAAAAAACAACCAATTAAAAATTGCAAAACAATTAATAACTAAATTAATATAAATTTAAACTAATTCTGTATTACATTGACTTAATTAGCTGAGATGTTCAATAATTTCGCCAGGCATTTAGCAGATTTAAAAAATAAAAAAAATAAAAAAAAAAGATATATATATATACATACAATAAACCAAAGCATGAAAGCCAAGTAAAAGAAATGTAAATTTATTTAAACAAACATTTTGTTACTCCCTTTCAGATAAACAATTAACTTGAGGTATAATAATTAATACTCATTTTATGCCATTGCGATTCAGCAGTATTTTGAAGGAGGCCTGATAGACCACATAAATTATATATGTAAATATTCTTGAGCAGGAGTTGAGCCATCGGATAAATGGATTTGTATGAACTCGAGCTACAAAAACTATATATTTCCGGTTGAGTATATTTCCCCTCTTCTATAAAAAGAAATTTATTTAAAATAGGGGAAATTTAATGTAGCAAATAATCTTATGTGAATATTATTTAAAGCTGGCAGGCTGCTTCAGCAACTCTCACTACAATCACTACGAGTACTAAAAGAAAGCGTTTTTCTTTAGTTTAATTAGTACGAGGTGAAGTTGATTTGATCCCATACGTAACTGTTGCGCACTTGAAGACAGACAAAGTATAGATAGACAAAGTCTAAGCGGAGCCAGGTATCTTCCATTATGGCACGGACAAACTTCGCATGATTCAGAAATAATACCATACCTAACAGGGTTAGTCAAATTTATATTTATTCAAAACTACTCAGAGTCATGCATCCAACTTTACGTTCGATAATTTCGTATGCAGCCTGTTTCGCTTAGTGTACTTATAAATCATGTTCCCACCTCTGGGGACCGAATTAGAAATGAAATATGGCGGACGGCGTTCCAGAACGAGTGCCATTCAATTTGCAATGCCAGCATGGCTGCTGAAATCGAACACCGTGAAAAAGCCCAACGACTGCAAATCTGCATAAAACATGTTACCAATTGCAGTCCAAAGCTGACCGCGCTCCCAGCCATCCTCCTGTGCATCCTGCTCTTTTCCTGGCCGACGAGGCGGCACGCAAATGGCCACAAAATGCGCGCCTGGCATGCAAAGCAGCTCCGCCCCTGCCCCTTACCTCTGCTGTGCTATAAGCCAGAGACGTTGTTGGGAGAGGGCCGAACAGTCGACCAAACTTTTGACTTAATTGGCCAATTGTTTCGGCTGGTTCACACAAAAAAGTGTTGCATATTTCACAGCGCAAGGCGTCTCAAATTTTTTGAATAGTAATCATTTCATAATATCAAGCCCAGCTTTTAGAGGGGCGTTTCTGCACCTAATTGCCCAATCAAAGAAGCACACCTTCGTTTTCGTTTACTTTCTGTGGGCGTTGTCGAATGCATACAGCCGACCGAATCCAGAACCAGCAATTAGCCGTCAAGCTGTTCGCCACTTAACTCAAGGCAAAACGGGCGAATGCACTCAACCGACTTTACGAAAAAGAAGAGAACCTTGAAGGTGTATAATAACTCTTTGGGAGTTAATGAAATTAGTTTAAAATATTTCATTCCGAGAAAGCATTATTGATAAAACAGATAAGCAGTTAAAACTATAAAGAAAGCTATAATAATGTTTTCTTTAAATAGATACATGTATTATTTGAACTAGGCCGTTGTAAGGTGGCTCATTTGCTCACCTTATATTACACTCATTTTGTAGTGGAGAGGAGTTTGTGGACAATAAGATTGGTAGATTGGTTGTCAAGTTATATTTTGAGTTGCATTTCGTAGCGAGTAAGTTGAAGCCTGTGGATATATTTGTGTAGCAAATAAGTGAAATTGTTGAATTAT